TGGTCTTCCAAAAGTCCAGAGGCTTGGTCATCATATCACTTGCCCACTTCTTTCATCTGACTATGTTGAATTTCTATTCATTTTATGGCAAATTAAAGGTGTTTTAGATTTGCTACGTTTGTGAGTGTGGCAATTGGCTAGCATGAGCAGAGCACATGTACTGTGTATTTATAGAAAATAGAGGCTCAACCTGCATATTGATAATGATGGCTGAGCATACATACCAATTTATTACATTACATGTAGATGCAGGGAACAGATGCTGTGTTACAACTTTACATCACTATGATGAACATCTTACTTTTTCCTTCCTTTACTGCTATACTGCCCCAACACTGAATAGGATTACTGCCATGTTTGGATCCAGAATATTTGTTTATTCAAGAAAGCCAAATATACTTGTACTCTATTACCTTACCACATTTTGAGTGTTTTTACATCTTCACTGCTTGGTAGCCAATAACTATTTTATGTTATTTGTTTGTTTCTTTTACTTTTAGATTGATAGAAAGTACTGTGAGAGAACTGTGATTAACTATGTAAAGAACACAGTTTTCATAAGCAAGCAAAATTTTAATTAATCTAACTTTAAAAGAAATATAGTGTTTTGTTATTTAGAAATTACTAAGACTTGACATTATCTATAGGAGGTTATGATCCAGATAATCTGTGTTGTGGTGAAATGGTAGCTACTAAAACAACATTTGCCTTCAACATCAAAACACATGAGTGGACAAGGAAAGCTGATATGCTGTGTGCTCGAGCACACCATGGACTAGTGGTTATTAAAGACAAACTTTATGCTGTTGGAGGTAGAGACAGAAATGGAAGGTATCAAAATAACTGAAAGATTAATATTGTAAGCTCAAAGTTTTGTCCTTAAAAATGTCCATAGTCCAATTAAGAGGTATGTTGTTTGTAAATAGACATGACACTTTTATGACAGCTTCAGAAAACTCCCTCAGAATGAGCCCATGAAGTACGAGATATTCTCAAATACAAAAGTATATTGATATCATAAACATTAATTGAGATTTGTTGTACATAACATAATATCTTACGTTTTTGAAAGATTTTAGTAATAGAACAATAAAAAGTCTTGAAGTACAATTATTATTTATCTAATCAAAAACACCTTAGGTGTGGAAAAAAGGTGTGGCCAAAAAAGGATTCAGCGTGCGACTTTAAGAAATGTTAACTAGGCCGTGTATTTTGTTTTACCCACCATTATGCCCTAAATTGAACAAGAAATGTGGTCTTGCTAATTAATGAATGAATATTTGCTATAAGAATAGCTACAAGTTTGGCCACCAATTTTGATTTCATTCCTTTAAGTTGCACACTTTTTTTCATACCAAAGGTGTTTTGATTATATATCTTGACTTTTTGTCAATACACACCAACAAACCACAGCAAGTAAAAAAGTGATGTTTGCTAGTAACCAACATTAGCTTTAGAATTGCAACCATATTATTTGGAACAGATGTTTACTTTAAAGAACCAACCAGATTCTTTAGAATATTTGGTGGTAGTTTTTTCTCTAAAGAAGTGTTAATAGCTTCCTTTATAGTAATGCCATGATATTTTTATTAACAGTTTCTTGTCATCTCCCCCATGCAATCAGTACAGTTGTATCAAGCATCATTAAGCTAATTTCACGTGATGCTAAACACTCTTTAGTTAGGATAATTTCATAAAATTTAGTAAATTTGTGCTGAAAGATTAGCAATGAATAATCAATAA